TATATATCATTACAAAATAGTATTTATTTATTGCTTTTTTTTTAATTGACTTCACTCCATGTAAAGCAGTAAAGACACTAAGATACAGTGGGTTACTGAGTGGGAAAGAGCAAGAAATGGCAAAATTGCTAAGGAGCAAGGACAAAAGAGTAATCAAAAGGACAGAAGATAGCAATTGACATTGCATTTAAATTTTGCAGATTAAAATTGGCTGGAAAGCATGGAGACTGGAAAAGAGTTGCACATGCAAGAAAAGAAACTGTTATTATAGAATTTACAGTTACATCTAGCTAGCTAAACTGTTAACAGGTGAGACCAAGTCACTAATCTAGTACTGCACTTAAATTCAAAGAATCTAGGCACCATAAAAATGAGATCATCCAAACAATTACTATGAAAGTATTCATAGAAAAGGCACAGAGAGGCAACCTTATGGTGTTGGGAAAGTGACTGAAGCCAAGCCACCAGATCAGAGCCAATAATTTATTTTGTCAAGGAGCTCCAGATAAATAGCAGGGGCACCAGACTATATATGGCTGTGATATTCTAAGCATGGACAAATTTATTATTAGAATGCAAAAAGCTTTTTGTATATTATCAGATTGAAAAAATAAAATTGATAAAATAAAAAAAATGAGCTGTTATTTGGTATCTGTCTATATTTCTGAAATGAGGTATTATGTACACTATTTACATTATTCAGACTATTGTCTTCATCTTTTTTGCCATATTTATTACAACTTTTCAGCCATTGTACACTCCAGCCTTCTTCAGATGGTTGGAATGTTGAACTGAACCCTTTATTTCACGTCCGCCTCTAGAGCCTATCAAGAACCCCAAGGCAAACAGAAGGGGCTCCAGAAACACTATATTTACCAGAAATATTCAGTATTCCACGTGCCATGTTTCATAAACAGATGTCTTCAAGGACACATGGCACAGTGGATAAAGGCATTGGTTAGATCCAGTGACAGGACCCAAAGCGTGTGAGTTCAATACCCGGTTAAGGCAGTGGAGAACTTGGAGAGAGTAATTAACAGGAGATAACTGATAACTGACATCCATTAAACATGGCACGTGGAACGAGAACAATCTACCCCAGTGAGCGAAATAAAGAGTTCAGTTCAACATTCCAATCACCTGAAGAAGGCCGGAGTGTACAGCAGCCAAAATGTTGTAATAAATATGCCAACATAGATGAGGATAATAGTCTGAATAATGTAAATAGTGAGCTGTTATTTATATAAATGTATATACAGTATATATTCCACTAGCACAAATGCTCTTTGAAAAGTCTTTACTAAATTTAGTTCCTCATGAGAGAAATGAATGACTAAATAGTAATATTATCTGTTTCCTTATAAAGAAATATTCAGTATTCATTGACTAAACAGGCAGTGATACTCCAGTTAAACTTTACTTCACTCCTTGGCCATTTGGTTTGTAACAAAGTGAAGTATCTACCTTTGTGTGAACAAACTACATTTTATCTGTCAACTGTGTATCTGTCTTTGGAAAAAACCCAAATAAATGATGCTGGGAAAATAGTCAGTTCCCTGTTCCATTCCAGTAAGTATCTGACTCCTCTTGCTACGCTCTAACTTTACAAAAGCCAGATCAGGTCAAAAATGGAGTACTGCAAATATATCTGGGTTGGAGCTGTAATGCTTGTTAGTAATGTTTTCTTTTTTCTTATATTCTTTCACACTGAGTATCCCCCTGTGTCTTAGTGGCTTTTTGGCCTTGCTTGTGGTGAAATGAAAAAAGATTTATGTGAGAATAATGCCAAATCATCTTGACTTTCTTAATATTGTTTCTAACTCTTGTATATTTTAATAGCTGAGCACTTTTTAGCTGATTGTTTAATTTTGATCATTATTACTGCATTTATTACAGTCATTTGCATATACAGAGTGGGTGGAAAGAAACTCCCTATTTAAAATTGTTAATAACTTTATCAATCATTGGTCAATTTTCATAAAACTATTTATTTTGAATAGTATAATAGTAGAAAACACAGTACAGTATTAAAATTCTACCTTCTTGATAGTTTCTTCCAATCTCAGTGCCAGTAAAAAGATAAATAAATATGCCACTTAACAAATAAATGGAACGCCTACTCAAATAACGAGCATCCACTAAAAATAACATTTAAAGTGATGAAAATCTGTCAGATTAATAAAAAAATCCATTCTAAAATTCTCTTTGTTTACATTTGGATACAAAACTGTGAAAATATGAAAAACTTTGAAAGATCTATGACTGGAGAAATTTCGCTTGAAAGCGTGAAATTTAGCCTTGCCTGACTGATTGCTCTTCATGGCCAAGTTGGTTAAGGCATGCTGGGTTAAATGGTAGCTTCCTTTGCCCTGAGGAATGATAGTTCAATTCCTGCAAGAGAGCATACAATTTCTTGAACACTCAGGCTGGTAGGCTGGTAAATATAGTGTTTCTGGAGCCCCTTCTGTTTGCCTTGGGGTTCTTGATAGGCTCTAGAGGCGGATATGCAATATAATTGGCCCTGCTCTGGCATCTCGTCTACAGACACTTTCTCACAGATGCACCATCGACTCTCTCTGTCTGTTTTACAAATACTTTCATGGCAATTGCTCTGAGGAGCTGCATTCGCTGGTTCCCAGACTTCATGAGTTCAAGCGCCTGACGAGGCTGGCATCCTGCTCTCACCCCTTCACTGTCGAAACTCCTAAATGTAGCCGTCTCTTCTACTCCAATAGCTTCATGTCTCACACCTCTCGCATGTGGAACTCCCTTCCCTATTCTAGTTTCCCTGAGAGCTATAATCTCCAGCTATTCAAATGTAATATCAATTGACATCTCCAGTTGCCTTGATCTATCCACTACCCTTCTCTTCATCCTTTCTTCTATCACTTCTATCTGATCTTGCTTCAAATCCTCTGTAACCCCTTGCTTGGGGTGAAATGCTTAAAAAAAAAAAACTAAATGGAGCATCTATACAAATTCAAGCATCCACTAAAAATAATGTGAAAAGAAATTTGTCAGATTAATAAAAAATCCTTTCTAAAATATATATATATATATATATATATATATATATATATAGTGCTGGTGTTAATAAAATAGTGCTTGATGAAATAGAGCTATGAATTATATATTAATAAATATATATATTTTTCCTCACTAGTAGCACAACACAGAGTTTCAGGCACACCAAATCTTCAGGTGCCGAATTGAGTTTGACTGATACATAATTTAATTTTTTTTAAATATATAAGGTTATCACAGGTTTTTTAAATATATAAGGTTATCACAATGATGGGGCAGTTCATATTTTCTATGTGGTCTGTTGATTTTTTTAAATTTTGTATTTAAAATAAACATAAGTATAAACATAAGGAAAAAAAATGAATTTTCTATGTAAAATAAACAAAAAAAAACACCCACACACATTCACACAAATAATTCATGTCAAGTTATAAAGGTGGAATTAAAATTTAAATATAAAGATACACATCTAAATATTTATAAAAAAAATACAGAGTTACTCAACAATATCATGACACAAACATACTTGTAAATTAATAAGGGAGGTTTTGAGGAGTGTGGAACCACCTCTTAATTGCTGGTGTTCCCAGATCCACCATGACTCGATATGGTAGCACCTGTTAGGGTCCCAGCTATGAGCAAATTTTTAACCCCTAAAGTGCAGTCAAAAAACTTTAAAAGTGTAAAAATAGGTTTTAATACCAGCAATGAATTTTTGTAAAATTTATTACCAGCAACATTTTTGGTAAAAAATATTACCTGCAATAAAAATTGTTGGCATTATATTTAATGCCATGGAGATTGATATGCCCTAAAACAAAACAAATAAATTATAATAGATATATTGTTGGCATTAAATAACCCATGGAGGTTGATATGCCTGCCATAAAACAAAACAAATAAATTAATAAGGATATATATATATATATATATATATATATATATATATATATATATATATATAAGTTTTTTTGGCCCTGGGTTTCAAGCTTTTAAAATCATCAGACAAACCCAGGGGTCAAAACTCATATCCATACAACTGAATATGTTAGCTTTATCACTGATATTGAGTGCTTTCCACTAAGTTCTGCACATACAATATATATATATATATATATATATATATATATATATATATATATATATATATAAAAAAAAAGAATACTGCTATGCAGTCATCAAATCTATTTAGTCATTATGACACACAAAAATTTTTATATTCTTCAGTTATTTCCTCAACATGTCTTATCACCTTTGATAAATTCTTCAACATTTCATAAATAAACCCTTAAGGCTGAATCCAAATTAAATTTTCAGGGAAGAGAAAAAAAAGCTTTCAAAATTTGACCTTTCTACATGAACCACATGCATTAATTTGTATTTTTTACGAAATACTACTCACCTCTGTGGTTTCATTTTTTTTTTTTTTTTGTTTTGTGTGAGAATATGTTTTTATCTTCCTTCTCCAAAGTCTGCGAGGAAGACATGGGATGAATTCTTCAGAATTGCTTCGTTTGTATTCACTTTATCTGCTATTTATGTCTTCGAGAACAATAGATGGAGGTAGGGGGGAATGAGTCTTTTTATGATCATTTTATTCATACAAGCTGAAAGCAGCCTGATTTTCATTTGTGTTTTACACAAGTTTTCTGAACAAGTTGTGTTTATTATTTTCTAATTATTTAATTGGAACATCTTTTTTTTTTATTTTGAAGGTTAATTTACAGAGGACCAGAGGTGGGAGCTGAGTATATTAAAAATAGATGGAAAGAGGAATGGATAAAGAAAAGAAAGAAACCAGAATTTAAATAAGTGATAAAGAGAAAAGAAATTAAAAAGGAATAACAATAAAAAAAATAATGAAAGAAATTATAATGAATAAGAAACCAAAAATGAATCATTGAAGAATGAGAAAAATATGTACAAAAATAAAACTATCTTTGAAGAGGATATTGTCAGAAAAAGGGTGAATGTCATTAAGAGGTGAAAATAGAATAAAAAACAAAGAAAGAAAATAGAATAAGAAAGAAAGAAAACAATAAAAACAAAATGAAGAAAACAATAAAAAGAAAGAGAGAAAAATAGAATAAAAAAGAAAGAAAAGAGAAGAAAAAGAAAGAAAATAGAATAAAAAAGAAATAAAGAAAACAATAAAAAAGAAAGAAAGAAAAATAGAATAAAAAGAAAGAAAATAGAATAAAAAAGAAAAAAGAAAAAAGAAAGAAAAATTTGATAAAAAAGAAAAAAAAATGGAATAAAAAAGAAAGAAAGAAAAATAGAAAAAAAAAGAAAAATAGAATAAAAATGAAAGAAAAAGAGAATAAAAAAAGGGAAAATACAAAAACTATCAAATACAATGAAACAAAAAGAAAGAAATTAAAAAAAAAAAGTAAAAGGGAGCGAGTGATGAATATAGATGAGGACAAATACTTTTTTAAAAATTGAATAAAAAAAGAAAGAGAATTTTGAATATACATTCTTCGTTTTCTCTCTTAGCTTTCTTCTTCTAAAAGTAAAAATTCTAAAAGTAGAAGAAAAGAAAAATCATAATTAAAAACAGAAGGTTAAAAATAAAGCAGAAAATAATGAAAGAAAATAAAACAAATAAAAAAATATGAAAGAGAAGAAAAATGAATCAGTGAAGAATGAAATAAAAACATGCAAAAATAAAGAAGTCATTGACAAGAGTAAAATATTGTCAGGAAGAGAATGAATATCATAAAAAACAGAAAAAGAATAAAATTAAAAAAGAATGAAATGAAATGAAACCAAAAGAAAGAAATTAAAAAAACAAAAAACAGAGGGAATGATGAACACAGAACAAATATTTAAAAATATGAAAGAGAATGTATTTTTAATATATATTTTTTTTTCTTTTTCTAAAAACAGAAACTATAAGAAAAAGAAAAAATCATGAAAATTAAAAGGAAAGAAAATAGTGAACCGATTTCTTCTTTTTTTTTCTTCATTTTTACTTTCACTCCACCTCACATTTAATGCTATCTCAAATGACATTACCATCAGCCATTTTATGAGTAAGGTATTTATCAATGTCATCATGGCCGACCTCTTTATTTAGCACTGTCTGTTCACACAAATGATCTATCTAAATGGTGCATTTTATATTGTTAGCTCAATGTTTATTTGATGTGTGGACTGCTGTGGAACTTCTCTCTGCTAATACTCTCATTTTATGGATTGTAAACTGCCTTAATTTCCAACTTTTTATATCTATTTTATATCCGAAATGCTAGCATACTAAAATCCGTATAAAACAGCCAATTCAACATCTGTCTGTATTTATCTGATTTCAGCTAGTCTTCCATATAATGCTGTGGTCTCCAAGGTGTATTTCATAAGTCAAGCGTTGACATTGTTTTATGGGTCACAACAGAGATGTGTAAGAGCAGACCGGTAGGTAATCTTTAACATTGCTGCTAAATTATGTATCAATGACATTTTTCTGTTTGTTTTTGTTCTGATTTGTTCATCTCCAGTGCTACAAGGAATGTCAAAAGCCATGTATCATACCAATAAATTTTGTTTACATGTCCTCAGTGACCACAACTAACTCAAATTTCACTGTGATTTAGAATTTGTGGCCCCACAGGAATTATATTCGTTTATTTTAGTACTTACTTGAAGTGATTCCTTACCAGGTGTGTTACTCGGCATGGCAAATGTCGGACATCATAAACGTAAATTAGCTTATGTCCCAAATGAGCACTGTTAATTTTGGTTCCAAAGAATAAAAAGTGCTCTTCAGGTTATCTGATTTATTCTCTTCAAATGCATAAATGTTGAATCAAAATTGCAATCTAATATGAAAGTACTGGTTTTGATTTACTAGGTCATGTCTGGTTCAAGGCTTCATTTATGATGCTGTCAGTGTTAATAAAATATACCCCATAAAGAATGTAAAATCAAAATTTTTTTTTCTTTTTTTTTTTTTTTTTTTTTCAGTAAGATTCACCCTGTATAAGGCCTGGGAGCCACTTGAGGTAGAGAGTTATGTTAGCGGATAGTTTATATGGATAGGAGGGGAAGACAACTGTTGACTTGAACAGGTTAAGATTGTAATGATCAGGGAAACATCCTCTTGGGTGTCTGTTCAATAGGATAGTGGCTTACAGGAAGAAACTGTTTGAGTGGAACTTAATTCTCACCAGTAGAATACAGAGGGAATGGGGGTGGTTCGTTACTATGCAAGTGGCAGAGCGGGTCTTAGCCATGAAGATCAGGTCTGGTGGAACCAGCAGATGCAGTTCTTCCAAACACTTTCCCTGGTAGTAGTGACAGAGCAGTGAGAGACCCTGCTACATCCCACCTGTGAGAGACAAAGAGAGTTTGAAGTGTGGAAAATAATTCTTCTCTAACAAGAATTCAGAGACACTTTTGAACTCTATCAGGACTAGAAAGTGAGATCAGGGCAGCACCGGCCCAAATATGGCAACAAAACTCCATTTTCAGCCTGATTTGGTAGAAGATGGTATGAGGAGTCGGTACTAATTGCAGAGAGCCAATCATTTTACCAGCATCTTTAACAATGGGTTGTATAAAGGAATACCACTTGAGGTCGTGTGCAAGTTTGAAGCCCAATATCCTCTCACAGTGCCTTCTTGAGGGGACATATGTTCATCATGAGTGGCAGTAGTTTGGGGTCTGGTCAGTGGTGATGGAATGTAACCAGTTTGGTTTTAAAGGCATGGAATGTAACCAGCCAGTTTTTTCCTCACTGGGAAGTTCATGTTAGATCGGAAGAGAGGTCAGCTGCCAATCTCTGATTGTCAAGATTTCTCCTTTTCATTTTCATTTTTTCAAAATAAATATATATGTGTATATATATGAGAGATCTCTGTCAAAACTGACAATGGATGCAGCAGCTTTGGTTATTATTGCCTGGGCAGGTAAAAGAATTATAGGAGACTGGTTTGCCAAGAGTTCACTCACCTAATTTCTTTTCTATCAGCTGTAGAGATAAGTTAGTGATGATACATTTTGTCATGATATCTGTTAATGGGATGGATAGCTGGGAGAAGTGGATTCATGCCTTTCCCAGGGTAATTACTGCTAAAATATAAAAATTTGAAAATAGCTTGCCAGTCCCATTTTACTATACAGATTTGAGCACACACAAGTTATATATATATATATATATATATATATATATATATATATAGCTGGCCACTCACATTCGAGGATACCCATCTACTAGGGTTGCTAGCCAATGCCTGTTGCAAACACTTGCTCAGGCGCATTTGTGTTTATTCAACACCCACAGAGAAATACTGTCACTATGCTGAGCAGACCTTAGTTACAGTTTCTGGGAAAGATTATGTTATCTAGTGTGATCAACAATTTGAAGAAGGCCAGCATGCTCAAGACCTTGACCATGATGAATTGTGACTTTGTGCTATCTACGGCCCCGAAGGGTTCCATCTACTTAATTTCACTCACAAGGCTTGAGACAACCCGTGGTATGGTTTTCAGACACTTTCCAAAGGATTCTGCATGCTGGGATCGACCTCGATCAAGTCTGATAACATCAGAAAGTCTCCTTCCCGATAAATCGACCATGGTGTGATTCAAACCCGGGTCTCATGGTCAGAATGCAAGTGTCCTAACCACTCAGCCATGAGATATATATATATATATATATATATATATATATATATATATATATATATATATATATATAATTTCGGATATAACTAAAAGGACAATATGAATAAAGAAAGAAAAGGAAATCTTAGTTAATGCATTTCATTATCTGATGAATTTTATTATGTCAAATGTTAGGATTTTATTTTGAAACAAGTATTTATAAACAAAAGATGATAGTTTTCCAATTTTTTTAATTTATGAAGGCTCATAAATATACATCAGTCTGGCTGAAAGGTCTAGGTAAATTATGGAGGATGCTAAGCGATGTTATTCAATTATCTAATAAACAAAAGTGAGTAATTATTTTTTATACGTATTTATGAGCATTCTTAAATAATATAAATACATTGAAAGTTATAACATATGCATGTTATAACATCACTAGAAAAATAGCCATTTTGTTTCAACACTTCTGGTGTTTTATCAAGTGATGGTGTTGATTGCAAAATAAAGACTTGATAAGACATCAGAAATGTTGAAACAAAATGGCTACTTTTCTAGTGATGTTATAAAATGCATATATATAATTTGGAATAAATATTTTTTGCTCTACTCTGTATGGCGCACTCTTTTTTAAGAATAGTGTTTTTTGGTCCTTGGAATTTCATTCCATCTGTACCAACTGTGTATATATATATATATATATATATATATATATATATATATATATATATATATATATATAGTTTTAAAATGTGGTATATTTATGGGATAAAGTGCTCAATATTAGAGATAGAGCATATGCAAATATAAATATAAAAGTGATCATTGAAGTCAGTACTCAGAGGCGACAGGCTGTTTCATGCAAAATGCAATTGTCAGACTGCCTGATGATTGTGTCTGGCATGAAGCAGTCTCTCGCTTTAGAGTTTTGACTTCAATGTTCACTTTTATATTTATGTATATATATATATATATATATATATATATATATACACACACACACATGTAAAAATGATAATTTTCAGATGACCACAACAATTTTTCTCCTTCCCAACCATGAACACTAAATTCTTACTCTATAATAACAATACTTGGAAATAAATATAATATGAGCTAACACTGTGTTTTCCTCGTGTCTTTTAATAACCTCACAAAAAAAAGCTTATCTGCGAATATGAAAGGATCCTATTAAGAATAAGTAGACAGAAAATGTATAAATTTTTTAACAAAATCTGTCTTAATGCATCTATATATATATATATATATATATATATATATATATATATTGTTTCAGTGACAATTTTAGTTTTGGGAAAAGCCAAGTGTAACCAAAAGACACATCTATACTGGGCAGGGATACTGACTGAGCTGGGTGATGCAACATTGTTTTCAGAGAAACAATGCTGAAGATGTGATGTATCCACCCACTCAATAATTGAGCAATGTGATGAATGCACAGTACATAATTTTCTTTCATGAGGTCTAAAAGTGTGTAGAAACTGTCCATAAAAAACTTAATATTCCTTCCTTGTTTGTCATATTCAATAAAATTTTACTTCAGCTACTCACATCAGAGATCTGAGTTCAAATTCAAGTTGAGTTCATTACATACACTTATGCACAAATATTCTAGAGAAAAGGAGGACTCTATCAATTCTCCCCCTAACTATGGGCTAAATAGTAGGTCAAACTGTACTCTTAATATAATTTATATTTATCAACAAAATTGTTGATACAACATTAACTCATCACAAAAAGAATTATTCTTAAACAATTCAAAAATATTTCAGCTTTAAATAACCCACAAAGGTTGATAAACTGTAAAAAACAAAATCAATCACTTAATCACTCCAGCAACTCAAATTACAAA